GCAGCAGCTCACTCCAGCCTCTCCTGTACCTCCATGCTGTCTCCTGTACCTCCATGCTGCCTCTGTTCTTCTATGCTGCCTCCATGCTGCAGATGGGAGTGAGCATGCAGTAGCAGCAGCTCACTCCAGCCTCTCCTGTACCTCCAAGCTGTCTCCTGTCTCAGTACTGCCTGTTCTCCATGCTGCTGATGGGAGTGATCATGTAGTAGCAGCTCACTCCAGCCTCTCCTGTATCTCCATGCTGCCTGTTCTGCTATGCTGCCTCCATGCTGCTGCCTTTTCCCTCCAGGCAGGCAGCTTTCACAACTGACAGGTAAGCTTAGGTTCAGTTAAAATGGCCACTTCATATAATGGCTGGTATAAATACTCCCCTTATGGCTACGCCCTACCCAGCATGCTAGCTGTCACTAAATTCCTGTGGCTGCTATGCCTACCTCCTGGCTCTGTCAAGGCCTATTCCTCTTAGCTGTGCTGATCCATGGGCTACAGAACTGTTTGAAAATCTCTTTGTCCCCATCTTCCAATTACGTTTCATTGTTAACCCCTTAAGGACTGGACTGTTTTTGCGATGTTGTACATTTGCAACCAGGCATATTTTTACACTTTTGTGGTGTTTGTGTTTGACTGTAATTTTCCGCTTTCTCATTTACTGTTCCCATACAAATTATATATTGTTTTTTTCAGGACAAAAGGGGCTTTCTTTACATACCATTATTTATATAATCTCATGTATTTTAATTTAAAAAAAATACAAACATCTGATGAAAAATTGAAAAAAATACATGTTTTTTGACTTTTACTTGAAAAATCTTTTACTCATCTACAAAAGCGAATGAAAAAAACTGCTAAATAGATTCAAAATTTTGTCCTGAGTTTAAAAATACCTAGTGTTTACGTGCTTTTTTGCTTTTTTTTGCATGTTATAGAGCTATAGGTACAAGTAGGATATTGCGGTTTCAAAACATACATTTTTAAAATGTATCAATAGTGACATTGTAACACTATTATCTGTCATAAATCTCTGAATAACACCCCACATGTACATATTTTTTTTAAAGTAGACAACCCAGGGTATTCAATATGGGGTATGTCCAGTCTTTTTTAGTAGCCACTTAGTCGAAAACACTGGCCAAAGTAAGCATTCATATTTGTTTGTGTGTGAAAAAGTAAAAAAACTAAATTGAACGCTAATTTTGGCCAGTGTTTGTGACCAAGTGGTTACTAAAAAAGACTGGACATACCCCATTTGCAATACCTTGGGTTGTCTTCTTTTGCAAATGGTATGCCATCATGGGGTAATTCTCATTCCTGGGCTATCATACGCTCTCAAAGGCAACGTAACCAACCTGGCCATTTTCAATGTAAAAATATTTGACCCATATATTTGACCTTGTAACTTTCAAAAATGCTATAAAACCTGTACATGGGGGGTACTGTTTTAAACAGATCACACCTTACATCCGAAAATGTACCCCATCCCACCTGGAGTACCCAGGGAGCTTTCCTTCCAATTCGTTGTGTCTCACTGTTACACCGCCCCCACATCTGATAAATACCGCCATCAATTTTTTATTAAGTCGTCCTCGACACCGAGCTACCACGGCCAGGTACGTAGTATGTCTCCAATGTAACCAAGGAACCATCTCGGACCGCACCACCACCACACCCGTGGCCAGCTCCCATAGCTGGTCCACCTCCCTCTGCCTCCACCTGATCAATTCCTTTTCCGGGACCATGACAATATCCAGAATGTCCTGGAAAGTACCCCTTGTTACCTCCCGGAAAAATTTCTCCCCTATTGTCTTGCCACCAAAATCCCTGAAAAACAAAACCACTCCTGCTCCACCAATTTCAAAGGAAAGCCCAGTTACGTTTGAACTGAAACGCGGCTCCCATCTGTGCCCCTTAGATATAAGAATGACCCACCAACCATGTCACCAAACCTGAAACGAAAGTAATTAGCGACACAGCATAGCCCCAAACACAAACCCATACGTCCATAGCCATTAAACCAAATAGACTGGCCTGAAACAGGACTTAAACCGTACTGACTCCCACCTGCCTAAATGTTTCCCTAGGTCCTCACTTAAAACCAGGTGGGGTGCCTCTGTTACCGCCATCACCTGGGAAGAATGTGTCCCAAAGTGCCCAGGATCCAAACCCAACATTGTCAAACCCCTTCGAACAAACACCTGCGGGAATTGAATCGTGACAGCACCGATCTGTCCCCTTTTACCAGTAAGCCACCCGGGATGTCCGGGCAAAGCTCCAAGTAGCATGATGCGCTTAACACCGGGCGTACCCCTGACCGCGGCAGGGAATATAGCTTTACCAAACCTCCTTTACCAGACACATTCGTTCTTGAACAACCCTACTGAATCGTTACCTTAACCGACTAAGGTTCGACAACCGAGTGTAGAACTCCCCAACACCTGCCCGAAGGCACTCACCAGTTCCCCAATCCAAATTGCCCCAAGCCTCCGAGAACGCCACCGCAAGCAAACTCACTGCAAAAGTAGGGTAATACACCACCAGGCGTTGCGTTACCCAAGGAAACCCGCCGCCCGGCACCGACATATTTCATACCTCTCCGTAAGACCTGCGATGCCTGACGGACGTGACAACGTTCCGTCACTTCCTCCCAATCAGTCAGTTTAAACCCTAACGACAATGCCACCATGCTCCTGTCCATTGCTGATGGAGCTAACGCTGAACAAACAAACGGCTTAGGAACCACAGCAAGGTATCCTTCGCCCCTCCTTTGACTGGGCCCCCGCAGTGAAACCAACCGCCTTGTCCCACATATCTCAAACGTTCACCTAGGCAGTCCCTGTGCCCGGTGCCATAGGATTCTGTATCGATCCTCCAAGCATGGCGTCTCGAGCTGCCACATTTCCTCCAGACTGGACAGTCCCTCCTCCCGCGCCCCCTGCCCCTGGGGCCACCATTCGCAGTTTGTCCCCTTGTGCACGAGCCAAGTAACCAGCCCCTAGCTTCCGCCAACCAGGCACGTGGCGTGACTGCACCCGATACCTGAACAGTGATACGAATCGCCGCCATCGGCGTACCTCCTGAACCGAGGACCCGGCTGGATGGTAAACCACACGAACCCCGCCGTTTTGTGCGTGAATTATGACTTTTCATCCCTTAATCCTTCACCTTTTAGAGCCACAGCCACTCCCAATTGAAATAACTCAAAAGATGCCAACTTCGAATAAGAGGACTTACCTTTCATGCCTCCCACCACCGCTCTGCGCACCACCTGCCTTCCAGGTATGCCCCGGAATCTATGTTCCCAGAGGTATCTGTGAACAACTCGATACCACCCGCAAAGGCTCCACAAGTAGCCTTCGGCATGAAATGGCTACCGACCCAGTCCTCGCGACTAACCCGACATGCAACTTGAAACTGCCTTATGAACCACTGCGATTTCTCAGTGACCTTCTTCGACCTGCGAACCTTCAGCCTGAACTCCCGAAGTGCAGTCAACTGAACCCCAGGCAATCGACACTCTCCTACCACCGAAACAATTTCCAGTCCAAGCAAAGACGTGCGGTAGGATTCCCGTGACCGTAAGGTATGTCCACAACGGCCCGGCCCAGCCGAACCCACACAGCAAGCTATCTTACAGATAATGTACTAAGGAACCCCTTTCTGATTCCTTTTTCACCTCCCACTCACAGACGGATCCAACTTCCCGAGTAGGAACATGAATGGAACTGCCCCTTGGCAAGTAGAGGTTACCAATAGGAACCTGCAAACATGCAACCCAAAAGATGGAAGGGTCGCCAATAATCGAACGCGTCCTGTTCCCCCAAACCAACTTGACGGCAAGGCCGAATGATGCCAACGATACATAACAGTTCCGCGGCGATGTCCTCATTTACCGATGCCCCTTTTGGGTGCGATAAGTTTTGTATTGGACAGAATTTCTAGGGGACCACCCCCCATGGAGACACCCACAGGTCCGCTAATGGCGCGGAAGTTCCCCCATGGACTTAATATTCGCCCACCACTTTTCCTGGTCCCTCGACTTTGAATGGAATAGCGTAAACCCCCTCAACAATCTCAGCCATAAAACTAGCGCATTTATGGGAGGCTTACTGCCTTAGCCACAGCAGCAATGCACTGATCATCACTGGTGCCGCTCCGAGCCGCAACCGCGGGGCTGAAGCCCTGCCGAGTACCCTTCCTGCCTTAGGTTTTCCTTTTTTGACGCGTCAGTTGACACAGTGACTCCCACCGCCTCCGGAACACCCGTATCGAAGCCTACCCGACGGTCCCCAGCTGACCTTTCTTCTGTCCAGCCAGCACAGCACCTCCTGGTGGTGCGCCGTCAGCCCCCGGAAAGAGCGCATTTCCTGCACTATCATTAGGAACCACCCCTTTTAAATCAATGAACTCCTCGAGCGGAAGACAGGAATTTTTTATATATGTATATATATATATTTTTTTTTTAATCCCCTTTATCAAATCTTATCCTCCACCTTCAAGTGCCCCCCAATGTCCCCGCGAAGGACACGTGCCCATTTTGTTGTGCCACGCCTGGAATATTGCCACACATCTAACTGTTCTCCTGCCCCGTCAGATGTCCCCGGTACCAGTACACCGTATTCCCCTTCCCTTACCCGGCACGCCGTCACCACCACCCTTACTTCGGCCTCCCGACTGCGCTCTGGTGACCCCACCCTTCGGCACTGCGGGGACGGCCCCTTTTTTCCTTGATCATGACTCTAAAATGATTTATGCAATTTAAAAAAGTGTGGTGTGTTTATTGACTCACCGCCCGAACCCCCGTCTGCGCTGTCTTTCCATCCACCTTGCCAGGCTCTGGAGTATCAGGTGGATGCCGACTCCTGTCCGCGCTGGTCCAGCCTCAAGCCCGTAGAAGTAACACTCCTCGACCTGCTTCTCCATCCCTCATCCGACCTCCCGCTGCTGCTGTGCCTGTCATTGTCGTTGCGCTGCTCCCTGCCGTACTCACACCTGCTGATGCTCCTCCTGTGTTCCTGCTCCTGAGAACGCCCCCCAAGGGGCTCCCACTTGCCTCTGTGCCTTACGTCCATTTCCACCCGTCCATGTCCTCTCTTCTGCCCTCTGCTTGCAGTACCTGGCCTCTCCCAGGCCGCCTCATCCACTTGTGGCCCCTTTAATTAATCCTGGTTGCTGGCCTTCCCCTCCATAGCTGCTTTGCTGTGCCTGTGAAGACTCCGCCTGCTGCTTTCACTATCCCCTTCCTTCCACTCTGACCTGACCCTGGCCCCATCCAGGGCCGCCTCCATCTGTGTCCCGCCGACCTGGACCCCCCCCGCCTGCCCATTGGGGGGGGGGAGGACCGCTTTTACACTGCTGGGCCCTTGCATCATTCCCCCTGTCACTCAGGTATGCCACCAGGGGCAGACTCACCAGGACGCCTCTTGCCGCTCTCCCTGCCTGGCGGCCATCATGTCATGCTGGATTCCGCCGTCCTTTGTGCTTTCCCGCCCCCCGCCTTATTGCAGGGGGCGCTCTTCCTGTGCGGCCTCATCCTGACCTGCCGTCTTGCCTGACCGGCGCCGCGTCGAACATACGGCGCCAGCCGCCCTCCAACTCCTGCCTGCTTTCCGACCTCATTCTCAGCCTTCCCCTTGCCGCCTCCTGACAGGCTCACGGGCTGCCGAACTAACGATGTCACTCACAGGCTGCCGCTGGGGCGTCCTCACTCTCCTTGCTGGCCTCTGTTCCACCGCCGCGTGGGAGGGGGGGTAGCAGACGTGCTCGGGGCCCCCCAGCTGCTCCTGCAGCCACCAGCCCCGATTCTGCCACAACCTTTGTGACCAGGATGGTGGCTTGCTTGGAGTTCTGTCTGAGGCTGATGGGAGTGAGCATGCAGCAGCAGCTCACTCCAGCCTCTCCTGTACCTCCATGCTGTCTCCTGTACCTCCATGCTGCCTCTGTTCTTCTATGCTGCCTCCATGCTGCAGATGGGAGTGAGCATGCAGTAGCAGCAGCTCACTCCAGCCTCTCCTGTACCTCCAAGCTGTCTCCTGTCTCAGTACTGCCTGTTCTCCATGCTGCTGATGGGAGTGATCATGTAGTAGCAGCTCACTCCAGCCTCTCCTGTATCTCCATGCTGCCTGTTCTGCTATGCTGCCTCCATGCTGCTGCCTTTTCCCTCCAGGCAGGCAGCTTTCACAACTGACAGGTAAGCTTAGGTTCAGTTAAAATGGCCACTTCATATAATGGCTGGTATAAATACTCCCCTTATGGCTACGCCCTACCCAGCATGCTAGCTGTCACTAAATTCCTGTGGCTGCTATGCCTACCTCCTGGCTCTGTCAAGGCCTATTCCTCTTAGCTGTGCTGATCCATGGGCTACAGAACTGTTTGAAAATCTCTTTGTCCCCATCTTCCAATTACGTTTCATTGTTAACCCCTTAAGGACTGGACTGTTTTTGCGATGTTGTACATTTGCAACCAGGCATATTTTTACACTTTTGTGGTGTTTGTGTTTGACTGTAATTTTCCGCTTTCTCATTTACTGTTCCCATACAAATTATATATTGTTTTTTTCAGGACAAAAGGGGCTTTCTTTACATACCATTATTTATATAATCTCATGTATTTTAATTTAAACAAAAATAAAAAAATATGATGAAAAATTGAAAAAAATACATGTTTTTTGACTTTTACTTGAAAAATCTTTTACTCATCTACAAAAGGGAATTAAAAAAACTGCCAAATAGATTCAAAATTTTGTCCTGAGTTTAAAAATACCCCGTGTTTACATGCTTTTTTGCTTTTTTTTGCATGTTATAGAGCTATAGGTACAAGTAGAATATTGCGGTTTCAAAACATAAATTTTTTAAATTTATCAATAGTGACATTGTAACACTATTATCTGTCATAAATCTCTGAATAACACCCACATGTACATATTTTTTTTAAAGTAGACAACCCAGGGTATTCAATATGGGGTATGTCCAGTCTTTTTTAGTAGCCACTTAGTCGAAAACACTGGCCAAAGTAGCATTCATATTTGTTTGTGTGTGAAAAAAGTAAAAAAACTAAATTGAACGCTAATTTTGGCCAGTGTTTGTGACCAAGTGGTTACTAAAAAAGACTGGACATACCCCATTTGCAATACCTTGGGTTGTCTTTTGCAAATGGTATGCCATCATGGGGTAATTTTCGGCCCTAAGGTCATAATGCAACGAATCAACCTGGCCATTTTCAATGTAAAAATATTTGACCCATATATTTGACCTTGTAACTTTCAAAAATGCTATAAAACCTGTACCTGGGGGGTACTGTTTTACTCGAGAGACATCGCTGAACACAAATATTAGTGTTTAAAAACTGGAAAATGTATCACAACAATTATATCATCAGTAAAAGTGCTGTTTGTGTGTGAAAAATGCAAAAAAAGTAACTTTCACCGACAATATCATCGCTGTGATATGTTTTACTGTTGTGAATCACTAATATTTGTGTTCAGCGAAGTCTCCCGAGTAAAACAGTACCCCCCATGTACAGGTTTTAGGGTGTCGTAGAACGTTACAGGGTAAAATACAGTGCTAGCAAATTCAATTCTCTGGAATTTCGGCCTGGGCTGGCAGGCAGGTCCCTCAAATAAAATTACTTAATTATGTAAAAATATTACATAAATACGCACGTAGAATTTAAATATATATGCATATTTATATATTTGAAGTCTACGTGTATATTTATATAATTATTTATGTAATTTTGTGTATGGACGTATATATATTTCTTATTATTTTTATTTATTTTTATATACATAGATATATATACAAATTCATTCTAAGTGTATTTTGATATAAATATATATATATTAATTTTAAAATACAGTTAGAATAAAATTTCATATAACTATATAATTTTTTTTAAATTTTTTATTATTATTTAAAAAAAAAATTATTTAATTTAAATTACTTATTATTTATATTTTATAATAATATATATATACAATATATATAGTTATTATATATATTATATATATACGTGTGTAATTTAATTATAAGTGTATTTTTATATTAATATAAGTACATATTAATATAAAATACACTTAGTATGACATTATATATATGATATATAGACATATATTATATAGATATAATATATGTCTATATATCATATTTATACATATATAATTATTATTATTTTTTTTATTACCATTAACTTTAATTTTTTTTTTGATTTTACAGTTGCAGGGAGACTGCCTGTCAGTACAGGCAGTCCCCCTGCAGGCAGACACATGGACACCTATTGTGACCATGTGATCGCTGTGTTAAGCGATCACATGGCCACAGGGGTCCTAATCTGCCGTGGGGAGACTGTCTGGGCTGCGGGCAGTCTCCCCACAACCGGAGCCACGCTGATCGCCGCCGGGGGAACGACGGCGATCAGGTAAGTACCCCCAGACCGTTAGGACGGTTCAGGACCGTCATCGGTCGGCAAGGGAAAAATGCCGATGACGGTCCTGAACCGTCCTCGGTCCTTAAGGGGTTAAAATCTTAATATTTTCCTTTCAGCACTTTCTACAGAGAAACAAAAAAAATAAGAGTAAAATGCACACACTAACAAAATGGGGGAATACTTGCTGCAGGGTGCTCCAGAAAGGGAGGGCCAATCCCTGAAGACATCAAATGGTAAAAATACATATCCGGGAGCACCTGATGTTTTTTTCTAAAAAGTAGTCCGTAGAGAATCATTGCATGCAATGCTTTCTATGGCAGAATCGTAGGCACATTGCGGTGAGCACACTGCATGCACCTATGGTCCCTATGGTACTCTGTAAGGAGCACTGAGTTGGACTTCATGCTGAAGGCACGCCTCCAGGATGACATCACGCTAGGAGGACGTAGTGCTGTGGGAGGCTCTGCACTGGAAACCAGGTGAGTAAATCATTTATTTTTATTTGAATTCTTTTTTTCTCAAAGTTCTGAATAAATACCCAATTCTTAATTTTGTAAAATGTACCAGCATTTCATGACATGTGTTATAATTAGATTTTTTTTTGATAGGCACGGGATGATTTGACTGTAAGGTTATACTTTTGAGTTTATATATGGGCAGTAGGTACTTTTAAAAGCAGAGCAAAGGAAGAAAATAATTCACTTTCACTACAATACAATAATTCACTGAATTCTATTCTTTGTAAATAACCCTGTTGTTGTTGTTGATTCCTCTGAAAAAACAGATGTGTTCGTACATCTACTTTATTTTGGAATCAATGACTTGTGAACTGTACGGGGTTTGGGCTTGAGCTGCGTAATAAAACAGTAAAACAGGACATGAGCTTTATGCTTCTTTTTTTTCATAATTATTACTTTATTCTACAGATAGTTGATGAAAATATCGGGATGAAAATATAATTCTGCCTCTTTATAAATCGCTGGTAACCTTGAATATGCTGTGCAATTTTGTGCACCTGTTCTAAAGAAGGATATCATGGCACTAGAAAAAGTGCAGAGACAAGCTACAAAATAGATAAAAGGAATGGAGCATTTTAGTTAAGAAGAAAGGTTAAAATATGTAAATCTCTTTAGTTTGGAAAAACGGCACCTAAAAGAGGATATGATAACATTATACAAATATATTCGGGGCCAGTACAAACCTTTATCTGGAAATCTATTCATAAACAGGGCTATACATAGGACACGATGTCACACATTTAGGCTGGAAGAAAGGAGATTTCATCTAAGGCAAAGAAATGTTTTTTTTACAGTAAGAACAATAAGGATATGGAATTCTCTGCCTGAAGAGGTGGTTTTGTCAGAGTCCATACAGATGTTTAAACTGAAATTGGATAAATACTTACAAAAACATAACATACAGGGATATAATTTTTAATTAGTGGGGTAATAGCTACTTGATCCAAGGAGACATCTGACTGCTATTTTGGGGTCAAGAAGGAATTTTTTCCTAGTTTGTTGCAAAATTGGAAGCGCTTCAGACCAGGTTTTTTGCCTTCTTTTGGATCAACAGCAAAAACATTTGTGAGGAAGGCTGAACTTAATGGACGCAAGTCTCTTTTCAGCTATGTAACTATGTAACTATGATTTTATTTTTTTTAAATCTCAGAAAGAACACAAAAAGAAATCTTTAGAGAATATTTATTTTTTTTTGTTTGATTGATTGCTTTAGAGTATGTACGTACGCAGTTTCCACAAAATAGATTGAAGTTGGGTATTAACTTTTGAAAATTTTGAGGCTAGCCTTTATTCCAGTTATGGTGTTTATTTGACAGACAGTCACTTACTTCAGATAGAGTAGCAATTGTGGGCAATTGTTTGATGTTAATCATCTTGTTTAGTAAGCAGATTCCTCTACTGAAAAAATAATTGGGTGACTTCAAGGGGCGAACTAAGCAGCATGCTACTTTTATCAATTTTTTACAAGTGACATTCACTTTGACATGGGATTTGCCCCATCTTTAGGACGAACAGCATAAAAAGGTGCGTGAAAGTTTGAATGGACTTTGAATTTTTTTTAGTTATGTAATAAACGCCAATTATATCATACCTAAGACCGTTACATTTTGTACAGCATTATATCAACAGAATACATTCAATATTATCTTAGTGCTGTTGTAGAGCATATACAAGTTTAAAAACAATGTATGAAATATTGCCTGCATAAATATGCCTATGTCTATCAATATTTAACATTTACTGAGCAGAACACCATACCACAAGCAAATTTCAAGTTATTTATTTGA